GTTTCTTTGCATACCTTGTAATTCTTAGTTAAAAACTAACCATTTTGCTAGGTTCGGTGGCTCACACCTGTAATCCCAGCTACTCGGGGGGCTGAGGCAGGAGGATCACTTGAACCTGGGAGTCGGAGGTTGTAGTGAGCCAAGATTGCACCACTGCACTTCAGCCTGGTGACAGAGTGAGACATCATCTCAAAAAAACAAAAACAAACAAACAAAAAACCCTAAGCATTTCGAATATTGTAATGTGGTTAATCTGGAAATCAGATTCTTTCTCCTCCCCAGAATTTGTTGTTGCTGCTTATTGTGAGTTGCAATCATTTGTATGTTTAGTGATTTTTCAACTTTTATTTATTAAGAAAACATTTCTTTTTTTTTTGAGACGGAGTTTCACTCTTGTTACCCAGGCTGGAGTGCAATGGCGCGATCTCGGCTCACCGCAACCTCCGCCTCCTGGGCTCAGGCAATTCTCCTGCCTCAGCCTCCTGAGTAGCTGGGATTACAGGCACGCGCCACCACGCCCAGCTAGTTTTTGTATTTTTAGTAGAGACGGGGTTTCACCATGTTGACCAGGATGGTCTCGATCAGAAAACATTTCTTTAGAGATGGCGTCTCATTATGTTGTCCAGGCTGGACTTGAATTCCTGGGCTCAAGAAATCCTCTTGCCTCAGCTTCCAGAGTAGCTGGAACTACAGGTGGGTGCAACTGCACCCAGATTCTAAACTATTTTTTGAAAGACTGTACTGTTTTTTCTTGCATAGCTACTGAAGTCCATTTCATTAACTTAATGGTCATCTAGTGATTTGACAGGGATTTCCTTAAATGCTTAGAAACAAATGAACAAACAAATCACTGGTCTTTGCAGATTGGCTCTGTGTTGGGGCACTTTATCAACATTTGACCAGACTGTTTACAAGTCTGTCGTAGTTTTCACCTCCTGCTTGTGCAGAGTCTAATGGTCAACCAAAGGTGGAAACTTAGGGTCTTCTAGGTCTTTTCTGAGTATTTGTCCAGCCCTGGGAATGTGTGTAGTCTTCTAGATTCACTAATATATCTCCTTTCTCAGCCTCTTTCTTCACAGATTTTCTGGTTTGTTTGCAGCTTGACTCATCTGTTTTCTCTTGTCCCAAATGGTTGAGGCTAGTATATTTGCCTTTAAATGCTTTTGACAAATGCTACCTGATAGCCTGCTTCATCCCTGAGAAGGTTCTGAGGCAGGTAAAACAAAGGCAAGTGCCTGGACCAATCTCTTAGGTAGTCATCAGACAGCTTATAACAGACACACACCACAATTCTTTGAGAACAAAGTCTGTAATGTAACGAGACAGTGATTGCACCACTGCACTGCACTCCAGCCTGGATGACAGAGTAAGACTCTGTCTCACAACACAGACACACACACACACACACACACACACACACGTACACGAGAAAATAGCTTTTTATGTTGGTCACTAGCAAGCTTCACCAGGAATTTGGGCTGCTGTTTTTATAGCCATTGCCAAGCTGTGGGGGTAAGAGATGGCAGGCAGGTAAGTTAAAGTACACAATCCTCTCTTACCAAAATCCAGCAGCTTCTTCCTTCATTAAGCACTCCTCTGGTTCTTCTAAGTTTTTAATGAGATTTGGGTTCTGAAGAGGTTAGTTCTGACAGTTTTTGTTAGATAACTCATTGCTGCAGTAAAGAGACAAAAGTTTGGAGTTCCTTATTATGCCATTTTCAGTGACACTACTCTCATTAAATATGGAAGGTTCTCCATCTTTATCATTCTGAATATTTTCTCTTTTCCATTTTCTTTTTATTTATTTATTTAGACAGGGTGTCTGTCTCCCAGGCTGGAATGCAGTGATGGGATTACAGCTCACTGCAGCCTCAGCCTCCGGGGCTCAAGTGATCCTCCTAACTCTGCCTTCTGAGTAGACGGGACCTCAGGCATGTGCCACCATGCCTGGCTAATTTTATTTTTTTGGAGACAAGGGGAAGGTCTCATGATGTTGCCCAGGCTGGTCTTGAATTCCTGGACCCAGGCAATCCTTCCACATTGGACTCCCAAAGTGCTGGGACTGCAGATGTAAGCCATTATGCTTGCACTCCATTCTCTTGAATATTTCCTCTTTTCTCTTGACAACTTTTAAACATTTTCATTAACAAATTTTTTTCTTTATCTTGAACTCCTGGCGTCAAGAAATCCACCCACCTCAGCCTCCCAAAGTGTTGGGATAACAGGCATGAACCACCATGCCAAACCCTCCCCCAGCTTTTCTTTTTTTAAGAGATAGGGTCTTGTTTGTTGCCCAGGCTGGAGTGCAGTGGTTATTCACAGGTGTGATCACTGCGTACTACAGCCTTGAACCACTGGGCTCAAGAGATTCTCTTGCCACAGCCTCCTGAGTAGCTGAGACTACAGGCACACATCACTGTGCCTAGCTTCTTGACACCTCTTTCATTATTTTTTAGACAGGGTCTCGCTCTGTCACTCAGATAGGTGTGCAGTGGCACCATCAGAGCTCACTGTAGCCTTGATCTCCTGAGTTCAAGCCATCCTCCCACCTCAGCCTCCTGAGAAGCTGGAATGACAGGCATGTGCCACCATGGTTGGCTAATTTTAAAATTTTTAGTAGAGACAGAGTCTCCCTATGTTGCCCATAGGGAGTCTCAACCCTTGGACCCAAGGGATCCACCTGCCTCAGCCTCCCAAAGTTCTGGGATTACAGGTATGAGCCACCATGCCCAGCCCAACAACTGTTGATGGTTGTTCTCACTCCATGTTTTATCTCAATCTCTTTCTCATGTTCTCTCTCTCTATGTGCTGTGTTCTGGGTAATTTCCCCATACCTTTCAGCTAACAGATCCCTTTTCAGCTCTCAGATCTGTTTGTGAATTCATCTATTGACGTTTTTATTTCAATAACTCTATTTTCTATTCTAGACACTGTACTTTAAAAAAATCTGTCTATTCTGTCCTCATAGTATCTTATTCTTTTCTCAGGAGTCTTATGTCTGTGATCATTTAAAATATATTATTATTTTCAGACAGATCTTCTATTATTGCATATTCTCAGGATTCTAATCCATTTGTTGTGTTTTTGTTGATTCTTGATTCCTAGTAATGGTTTTTTATTTTCTTTTTTTAATCAGGTGTTGTAGTTTCTAATTGTTAGTTCATTTTTGACAAGGTTTTCCCCCTCCCCATTGTGAGAATCTTTTCATGCCTTGATTGTGATTTTTGCATTTGGTTCCATCAGGAGTCTAAGGATAGCAGCAGAATAACAACAGACTGGGATCAATTTTTATGGTAATTCCCAGAGATGAATGTTTCTGGGCTGCATCAAGGTTTCTGGGCTGCAGGTAACAATAATTCAAACTCCAATCTGTACAAAGGGTAGGCTCAAGGTTTCTGTTTCTCAAGGAAGACTTCTCCCCCCACTCAAAGCTCAGGCAGAGATGAACATGTTTCCTTATTTCTCTGTGTTGGTAGTAAGAATGCTTTGTGTCTTTGTCCGTCTTTTCCCTAAGCGGGTAGTCTTTCCAGGGTGCTGGCTTTATACAGGGTTTTCAGTTCTAAATTCCCTCTTTGCTTGGGATTGAGGCCTTATTTCTTGACTTGAGAGTGCATGAAAATCCATGCTCTAGTTTCCTGAGACAATGCCTTGTGGACCATTCCCACTCACACTTTGCAGCTTATGTGATCACTGCTCCGTTTTCCATTTCTGGCACCTGTGTGTTTCCATTTCTTTTTTGCCAGCTCATTCATTCAGTCAAAGTTAAATACTGGTTGCATTTCCCCTGATATTTTTAGGTAAGCACAGCAGGAAGATTTTCAGGGTTCATTGGTTTTATATCTTGCTGAAACTAAAAATGTCTTCTTAGGCTCCTTGTTGAGGAACTTGTCCTCTGCCTGTCCTTTTACCTTGTCCTCTGCCTGTCCCTTTTCTGAGAGTCCTTATTTGGCCCTCTTGTCCTTTCTCCCTGTATTGGAGATCCTCATTTACCTTATCAAGACCTATGGATCCCTGGACACTAATAGTTTTTAACAAGGAGGCAGGACAAAATATACTCATAAAGCTAAGTTTGAATCTTTTCCTGCTACTTACCTGCTGAGTGACCTGGGGGCAAGTTACTTGGCCATTCTAAGCCAGTTTTCTCATGTGTGAAGTGAGTGAAACAGTGAACAAGAGGGCTCTAGAGCCAGGCTGTGAATGTGCAATGAACAAAGGGACTTAGGAATTGGGGTTTTCATTGACTGGCATGGGGTTAGGTGGATGTGCCCTGTGATTACACAGGTGATGGGCAGGGATTCAACTCCATGAGTCCTCAGGCACGGTGTCAAGCAATTTACATGTAATCCTCAGGATTAAATGTCAATTCTGCAAGGAATTATGACTGTCCCCATGTTACAGATGAGGAAACAGGCTGGGAATGGTTCACTAACTTGCCCAGTTCTGTCTCATTCCACTAGATGACTGATTTGGGCTCAACGAACTTCTGATCCAAACATCCGTTATAGGGATATTCATTGGAGACCTAACACTGCTTTAGAAGTGATTTTTAAAAATATCTCATTTTGTCTTATTTTATTGATTTATGGGAAAGTAATTTTCTTCTTTAAATTTTGGGGTTGGGTCCTTCTGGGGTGATCTTCCAGTTAAGTGTGAACTGGCACAGGAGTTCAGAGGAACAACTGGTTGCTACAGCTCCCTTCCCTCTAAAGAGAGCAAAGGCTCAGGTTCTCTTTGACCACCGGGTAGGTAAGAGTTCCACACTGTCACCCCAACACTCAGGTAGGCTTTTTGGGAACATTTTCTGCCTAGCTATCCCTCTTGCACCCAGCTGCCTCTGCCTGGGCCCCACTGATGCTCTGAGCCCCTGACTCAGGCACAGATATGGGAGGTGAGATGTGTCTCTCTGGTGACTTTCCAGGTACTCCCCCCACCCACCCACCCACACACACACACATGATCAGCATTCTGGACACAGGCACTCTCCATTGCCCCATACTTACAGAAATTGGCCACAGGATGAAGGGTATGTATCTGTTAATGGCAAAGCTGTACAGTAAGATGAAGAAGCTGAAGATAGATATCTCCATGGTGATGATAAGCCCCAAGATGGGGTGCACGGTGAGTGAGGAGAACAGCATCATTGCCACTATTAGGCAGACCTGCAGTGAGACAGACACCTGAACCAGCAGCAAGGGCCTCTCACCACCTTTCTGAGGACAGCTGGAGCCTGCTCCTCCTTTCCCCCATCCTTGGTCAAAGCCCCCCACCCAGGGATACCAGTCCAGCTTACCACACTCAGAATCTTGACCTCAGCGTGCCCCAAGAGCCAGAACTCTTTATTGCTGTCTTTTAATTCCCACCGGTAGCGGCGACACCCCTTCCTCGTGCCCACTTCGTGCTTGGGCTGCACTGACTTGGGTTTCTTCGGTGCTGCCTCCTCATCGTCCTCCTCATCCTCTCGGGGTTGGTCTTTGGCTGGAGGTGGAGCTGGCACTGGCTCTGGCTTGTCCCCCTTTGCTGCCTGCTTGTCCCCCTTTGCCGGCTTGTCCCCCTTTGCCGGCTTATCCCCCTTTGCCGGCTTGTCCCCCTTTGCTGCCTTAGGTGCCATGGCTGACTCAGTGTCCTTGGCTTCTCACAGCCGGCCTGTTTTTTCTCTCTCCTGCTGTTTCTGAGTAGGCCAGGCCTACCAGAGAGCCTGGTGTCCACCTGCAGCTCAGAGGGCCTGCTCAGCTAACCGCCAGGACCGTCGAACTGCCAACTCCCGCTGCCTCTCCACGCGCGCCCACCTCCGCGTGCAGCTGCCGGATCCGTCTACCCTCCACGCGCGGGTCCCCAATGGGCCCCACCTCCGTTCCCTACCTGCCGTCCCACCTCGGCGCAGAGCTGCCCTCGCGGTTCCAACCCGGCGTTGCCAGGCGGCCTGAGGTCTGGAAGCTGCAGCTCCGCTGCCAGGTCAGGGGGCTGCGAGCACCGGGTCACAGCCCTGAGCTCCGCGGGCGCAGCGCCATGGGCAGAAAAATAAAACGCGACTTTCACAAGGCAACGAGAGGAAGCAGGCGTTATTGAGAAAAGCAGCAGCCCAGATTTTATGGTCACATTTAGGCCGGAATGGGTGACAGCATGCGAGCTCGGGGGTGGGCTCGGAGGGAGCGATTCGACAGACACGTGCATCTGAGAGGGCGCGGGGCTGGCTTCATGCGGGCCTCTTCGGGGCGTCGGGGCCGGTTTCGGGGTAGGCATCCCCGGCAGGGGAAACCTTGCTTTCGACTTCGACTCCCAGGAATTTTTTCAAGTTAGTCCTCATCGTCTTGGTGACCACAAACGCATCGATGCCACACACGATTATCGCTGTGAGACACAGGGACTGTCAGATACAAGACCATATGCGGGAAGGAAAGGCGGGGTTATTTTGCAGCTCGGTAACAAGGTCTTGAACCTACCTCCATCCAGGGCGGGCACTGTGGGCGGCCTCCTGTCCCCTCTGACCCTTCACTACCCCAGTTGGCTGCTGCAGGCCCACTCTGCCTTTCCCAGAAAAAGGGATTTTGGAAACAGGGGGTTTTGTTGCTAGTAGTAGCCTCGCCTGATGCCTGAGGCACCAGGAAAGGACCAGGGAAGGGCACTGGCCCTAAGCGTTTGGAGGTATGGGTGGGTCCTGAGAAGGCCTCTCCGTGGAAAGACTTTTGGGCTATGTTTGCAAAGGGTGGGAAGGAGTTCCTAAGGGGAGGAGGATAACCCAGGCACTAGACTAAGGTCTCTAAGGAATCTGGTGTGGCCAGGACCTCCGGGGCTGCTGAGAAGGGGGCTGAGTTGAGGCTGGAGAGGTGCAGGATCTGGGACTCTTATCAAGAGGTCAGGTGTGAGACTCAGAAAACCCACTTGCAGTGGCCATGAGGTGAATGGAAAGTGAACCAGGCTGGAGGCAGGAAGACCAGTGAGGGGTGGGAGTTGGATGCTGCCATCCAGTAAGAAATGGAGACCTGGAGGTGGGAACCCCTGGCAGACGTGGGGGGTGCCCATGGCACGGATGTTCCCCTGTGCACGCTGGGACTTTTGACAGCCTTGGATGTTCCTCTTTATGATCACTTAATTCCTGGCTGCTTAATGAGCTTTTCCTAGGTATGCTTTGCCCCAGTGAAACTGTGAGCTTCCTCAAAGAGGAAGGGGCTTCATCCCCAGCACTGAGCTCAGGTCTGGCACAATCCAATGGGATTGACAGATATTTACTGATTATGGAATGAAGTCAAATAAACTCTTTTTTTTTTTCTGCGTTAATTTCTGTTCTCATTGTTTAACTTCTTGAACCAAAGCCCTACCTCCCCACCCCCACCCCCTGAATCTTCCAAGCATTTGATCTGCCATTTCTTGTGTTCTTCCACATGATGAGGGTTTGAGTCCCAGTTTGTCCCAGTCTTGTGACCCACAGCAAGGTATTTAACCTCAGTTCCTCTATCTGTAAAAATGAGAGTTGTAAAGATGAAGTCAGAATGTGCCTAGCCTGGTGCAGGGCATATACCGGGCACTTCGTCATGTGGCAGGCTTCTTTCTGCCTTCCTTCCTGAATAGGCTGGATTACTCACTTTGACAGTGCACTTTCCCCCCCTACAATCTCTCTTTTTATCTGTCTTTAAAATACAATTCTCTAGTCCAGAAGATCAAAGTCCTATTTATAGATGAAAAGATCTTGCTTAACACTTCAAAAATAGTGTGTACAATTCTCAAAAGGGGTTTAGCAGACTCTTGCTTTTGTACCTATTCGGAGAATGCATATTAGAATTAAGATTTTCATGAGCTCAGAGTTGGTGCAACTTCATATCATCTGAAGAAGTCAGTGCAAGAAGGAGAGTGGGTGACAGTGGGAATTCTGCTTGGTTAATTGATCTAATGGAGTCTGCTAATTTCCCTTTTCAGTCTTGGAATACTGATGTTAAATGGAGTAATGAAGGCTTCTACCTACCCCTCCAACATAGAATAAATGTCTTCTTTTCTTTTCTTGCATGGCCAAGAAGGCAACGACTGAGAGGAATGCAGCTGTAATGATACTGTTGGTAAGATCCTGTAATACAGAATGGAAAATTATCAAGTTTATAAAAAAATTAATTTCAAAAATATGTAAGCTTGTCAATTACACATCTAAGAATAGATACCTTTAAAAAACTTTCCCTTTGATTAAGATGAGGAGGAACCCTGAGGCATAATTCTTACATCGTCCAGAGACAGGAGTTTATGTGATATTAAGGTCCTAGATATGACTTTGTCTGCAGAAATGGGTTTATTTATTTTTTTTCATTAAAGAATACCATTAGAAAAAAAAAGCTGACAACTTTTCCCATCAGGTTTTTCTTAAAGGGCATAGGAAAGAGATCATGAAAAAACCTAGTGGTCAAGGGGCCTAGTCCAAATTGGCCCTCTAAAATGTGATTTTTTTTGTATTTTTTAATGTAAATTCTACATTCTATTCCATACCTTATTTGTTTTAATATAAAAATAAAATTTTAGCTTAGCACTTTAATTATGGATTTACTTCTCTTCCTAGATCTGGAAATTGGGCCACATTTATTGTACATGTAAACTCATAGTTTACATGTCCCAAGAACATATGAACTCATCTGAGGAGCAGGTCTGATACTCTGGAGTGAATATTTTTTGCTCTTTCCTGAAACATGGCCGGAATTGAATGTGCCCTGACATCTGCAGGCTCATTGTGCTCCTTCTTGTGGATTCCAGTTGGATTTCAGTCCTGAGTTATTTGACTGCTAGTTCAACCTGCTTCTTTATGTGCTGAAATAGTGAGGATGAGTGGGTAGGGGTGCCCTCCTGGGTGAGCAGTGGCTGGGCTTCCTTAGCAAAACAATGGGAGAACGAGTGCAGTGTGTCAGTGGCAGCAGAGTATGGGTAGGGGCGAAAGCCTAGAGGATGTAAACACAATATGGGCCAGACACCTAATTTGAATACCTTTAGCCTTTAAGTCTTGATGGTCTGACTTGGTAATGGCAGCCTTTCTGGTGCGCTAGTCCAAACACATCAAGGAGCACTGCCATCCAGTATAAGGATCATGGAATCATAATGGCTCCAGTGGAGCTCTTTGATGTGCCAAGCATTTCCCAGTTCCTCATTTAACCTCATTTAACCCTCACAAAGCAGCGTCCAAAGTCGGAATTGTCATCATCCCCAGTTTCCAGAGGACATGATGGAGGCTTAGAGGCATTTTTCAGTTGCTTAGGATTGAATAATGGGTGGAATCAGAACTCAACTCACTATTGCCTCCCATCAGGGACACCCAAATAAGGAGGAAATGAACTATTCTCCTAGTCTGCAAGTGCAGCATCCAGTCCATCTTTGGCATTTTCTGTAGGATAGGTCTGGAGGGTTAAAATGATATGGCACAAGTCAATTGAGTGTTTTTGTTGATGAACTCTTTTGGCCTGCCAGTTCCTAGGTGGGGCATATTTTATCACCTGCCTGCCAATTTGGCAATGTGTAATATGGGGATAATGACTGAGGTTCATTGGGTCTGAGGATTAAATGGCATAATGACTCTGAAAGCATCTGATAATATGCCTGGCATCTAGTAGGTGGTGGGAGTGCATCAAAATGTAGGTTCATATCTGCTCTCAAAATGTTAACAGATAGTAAACTCTCTGCATGCTCCAGGTGTTCTTCCTGTTGGGGTTGGTGACCAAGGAGTCCTATTGCGGAATGTGACTTGCCTCTAGGAAAGGCACTAACGCCTACTGTTTTGGTGCCTGGAGTTAACACTAGAACAGGGGCATGCAGCAGCGCTGGTAGAGGTTGGAAGGAAGTCCCAGCTGGGTTCTGCGAGCTGAAAGGGCAGGCCTGACTGAGGCAGGTACAGTGGTTTGCAGCTTTGCAGCAAGCTTAGCCCGTGAGGACCGTGTAAACCAGGCGCCCCCAAACTACAGCCCGAGGGCGGCATGCAGCCCCCTGAGGCCATTTATCCGGCCCCCCGCCGCACTTCAGGAAGGGGCACCTCTTTCATTGGTGGTCAGTGAGAGGAGCACAGTATGTGGCCGCCCTCCAACGGTCTGAGGGACAGTGAACTGGCACCCTGTGTAAAAAGTTTGGGGACGCCTGGTGTAAACCAAGGTAGTCAAAGATGTGAACAAGGACTCTTACAACTGAGAAGCAGAGTGTAAACTTCAAAAGTCAAATATTCTTTTTGTAAAATTGCTTTCTGTTGGCCAAAACATCTACATAACCAGAGCTCAGTTTCTCTAACCACTAACTGGCTGTGGCCTTAGATCATGAGAATTTGAGTGAAAACACACCAATAATGATAATAAACCAAGCACAGACCAGGCCCAACCAGTCTTTGACTACCTGTCATAATTTTGTCTCCTTGTTGGACTATGGATTTTATAGTTTACTGTGGTCCTTACTTACAAAGAAGTGCTCTCCTGAACTGTCCATTGGAGCTAAGGTTTGCCTTGTATCTAACAGTTCTACTGTAGCTAGCTCACATTTATTGAGCACTTACTATGTGTCATGTACTGTGCCAATGTGTTAATATATGATCTCATTTGATTCTCACAACAAACTCTCATTATCCCCAGTTTACAGATGGGTAAGCAACTTGCCCAGGGTTGTTCAGCAAGTAAGTGGCTATGACCTTGGGCAGTCTGACTTGAGTGCCCAAGGGCCTTCTTCCTGCTAACCTCCTCCCTTTTGCCTTAGACACAGACCCTCTTATTTGCCTCATCTAGACAGAGAGACAGATATGGTTGATGGCTGTGTTAAAATGGCAGCTGAGCTTGGCCATGTCCAGTACGACTTCCACTTTCCTCATAAATGCCATCCTTACTTATTATCTTTCTCTTTCCCCCCAAATACCTTATTGACTCAACTAACTTTCTCTGACTAAAATAAGAAATATGTTTTTTACTTGACAATTTTTCCATAAAGCCTCCAAACTATTCTCTGAGATATTCAAAATCATGTAGAATTATAAGTGGGAAGGAGAAAGATGCCTTAATGGTGGGTACTTATTATTTTAAAACCAAAACTGAATATTAGAAAAAAAGTTAATCAGGCCAGGCATGGTGGCTCACACCTGTAATCCTAGCACTTTGGGAGGCTGAGGCAGGTGGATCATCTGGGATCAGGAGTTCGAGATCAGCCTGGCCAACACGGTGAAATCATGTTTCTACCAAAAATGCAAAAAGTAGCCAGGTGTGCCTGTAATCCCAGCTACTCGGGAGGCTGAGGCAGGAGAATTGCTTGAACCTGGGAGGTGAAGGTTGCAGTGAGCCAAGATCTTGCCATTGCACTCCAGCCTGGGCAACAGGGTGTGGTGGCTCACACCTGTAATCCTAGCACTTTGGGAGGCCGAGGTGGGTGGATCACAAGATCAAGAGATCAAGACCATCCTGGCCAACATGGTAAAACCCTGTCTTTACTAAAAATACAAAAACTAGCCGGGTGTGGTGGCACACGCCTGTAATTCCATCTACATGGGAGACTGAGGGAAGAGAATCGCTTGAACCAGGGAGGCAGAGGTTACAGTGAGCCAAGATTGTGCTACTGCACTCCAGCCTGGGCAACAGCAAGACTCTGTCTCAAAAAAAAAAAAAAAAAAAAAAAAGTTAAAACATGATTAGTTTCACAAAATGTAGTATTTGTAATTGGAATTTACAAACATTGATTATCCAACAAACTGCAACTTTCACTGGTTTCATTTTTTTGTTTTAGTTTGCAATGTTTATTGTATTCCTTTAAAAAAATTGCTTTCTGTTGGCAAAAACATCTGCTTGACTGGAACTCAGTTTCTCTGACCATGCTGGATTGTCTTTATGATGTAGAAGTGTTTAAAATATGAGCTACTTAGAAGACAGTAATTCGAATTCATACTTTCTTAGGTATCCTGACACTAGGCTAGAGCAGGGGAACTGGTAACCCTAAAATGAAGAGAATGTGCGGGGTGAGGAAAATTGTACTTTTCCTAGCTTTGATGTAGACTCATGCTGATAAAAATGGGTTTAAATTTAAACAGTTTAAATTAACTTTATTTATGGATTTAGTTCCACTCTCAAGTCTGCAGGTAAAAGTAGTGCTGTGGAAGTTGGCACATTTATTCTGTGAGTTCACATGAACCAAGAACACCAGGAGCCCATCTGAGGAGACCTCATAGGTCCTAACATAGCTTAGTGTTGAGAGCTGGGCCTGTACCTTCCCCATGGTGTCAGGGTCCCTGGCACAGCCTTCACAGCTGCAATTCAGAGACTTGAGTCCCTGAGCCTGGGCTCCATCATCTGTCCAGAGGAGGAGGCCTTGACAAAATATGGTCCCAGAACCCACAGGTCTCAGCAGGTCACTTGGTCACCTGTATCTGCAGCCAGTGCTCTTTGGGGCTTCCCTGCTGAGCCCAAGCCCCGATGTATCAGACTGTATCTGTCTCCCTGGTAGGGATTTTTACCTTCACCCCTTTGTCAAACAATAACTGGAATAGGGAAATAAGGAACTCTAGCCTTTTATGAGTCTTTAAATTAGAAATCACCACTTAAAGTCAGCCCTCCTTACTCTAATCCTAGACCTCCTGGGAGCCAAGCCTTCTTGCCTGGAGGGAAGGGCTGAAAGGAAGTGGTGCTGCGTGTTGGGCACCTCTTGTCTGTGGGGAGGTGTCTGAACCTATGCAGAGCCTCAAACAGTTCTAGTATGAAATTGACTGTGTGTTCCAGGGCTTTCTGCACTGACCTTATCATAAGGTCCCTAAGTGACTCCTGAAGCTTGATTCTAAGCCTACCTTCTGAAGTGCCAAGTCAGCACCTCCTAGCACTAATACCCTCACGAAACTTGCACATTTCCTGCTATGCCAAGGCCTCCCAATGGTAGCTACTTGCCCCTCTGAAAAATTGTGTAGGTATACATCCTTCATCTCACAGAATCTGAAAGAGTGGATTTGAAAGGAAGGGACTGGACAGGTGAACACAATTTGAGTCCTGTTTTGATGAGTCTTTTTCAAAAACTTCCAACTTAATTATATCACTTACCATCTGACCAACTGTGTGGTTGCTCAGTATGTGTCCTGCTAGTGTGAACTGAACATCAGAATAACTGGGCAACCATCTTGGTAACACAGAGTTTCCCCACCATGAAGCTCCTGGGAGCTCACAAGGCATATCCTGTGCTGTGCCAAGTCTGGCCCATGCTCTTGAGGACAGTAGCAAGAAGGCAAGGGCTCCAAATCATACTCAGGGGTCCCACAGCCATCCCCTAAAAAGAAGATACTGTCACTTAAGACAGACAGCAAGGGGGCCTGGCTTTATTGGAGTTGACCAAAGGTTTGTAACCCTACAAGAGCTGGGCTGAACTTTCTGTGACCACTGTGAGAACAGGTCCTCTCACAGGACACTCACAGTTCAAGCTCAGGAGATCCTAGTTCTTACCTCTGTCTGGGATACTTCTTGGGCATTACTCCTGGACCCTAAAGCAAAGTATGACATCTCCTGGCTCTCTCCAGCTTTGTGTGTGGACCCAGCCTGCATGAGTCCTTTCCTCAGAGGGCTTCGGTCCTCCTGACCACAGTTCATGGTGCTGTGGAGCCATCAGTCACCCACCCCCAAGGGCCTGTGTACATCCACCAGGATAACCAATTCACCTTTGGCTCTCTCTCTCTCTCTCTCTCTCTCTCTCTCTCTCTATATATATATATATATATATATATATATATATTTTTTTTTTTTTTTTTTGAGATGGAGTTTGCTCTTGTTGCCCAAACTGGATTACAATGGCATGATCTCTCTTCACTGCAACCTCTGCCTCCCAGGTTCAAGCAGTTCTCCTGCCTCAGCCTCCTGAGTAACTGGGATTATAGGCGCCCGCCACCACGCCCGGCTGATTTTTGTATTTTTAGGAGAGACAGAGTTTCATCATGTTGACCAGGCTGGTCTTGAACTCCTGACCTTGTGATCCACCTGCCTCAGCCTCCCAAAATGCTGGGATTACAGGTGTGAGCCACCGCGCCTCGCCTTTGGCTCCATATTTCAAGAAAATCATGAGGAAACAAGATACAGAGATAAAATTTAGAGAACCTGAGGAGGACATAAAGATGTAGTTTTACTGAGTTTCTTACCTTAACGAAGGATGGAGATAGAAAACCATCACAAGATAATAGGTTATATAGTCTTGAAAGAGGGCTTTAAAATCAGATAGACCTGGGCGCAAATCTGAGTTCCAATGCACCTACATATGGCCGCAGACAATTGGATGTTTTTAATCCAATTTTCTCATCTGTTAACTGGAAGGGTGAGGGATGACTATAACCTCACTGAGTTGTTGTGAGGATTAAATAAGGTAGCATGAAAAAGTATATGGCACATGGTATATGCTCAAAAATGGTTACTTTACCTTCCCTTCTTGAAAATTTCCATGGACAGAGATTTGAGCTTTCCCTCAGAAACCTCTCCATAACTAAAAGGCTCTTCCACATGTTCAATTAAAGTCGCTTATATTTGCTTTGTCTGCTTCCTGTACTCGGCATTCTGTGGGACAGAGAGAGCTCAGCAGTCTTTGCAGAAAATCTCTCACACATTTGAAGAAACTATTTGAATTTTAGTTCAAAAGGAACACTCTTACTTTGAGGTCAGAAAAATGTTCTATAAGGAAGTGGGATGTGGAAGAGGTCTAAGCTCTGAATTAGGGTTGTTCACAGTGCAAGAGAGAATGGCAAACGCCACCCAGATATCAGATGGTTCTGATGGGTGGCTGTTCTTTTTGGACATTAGAAGGTTTACTTTGTGTCACATACTGTGCTATTGGCTTTGCACACACTTAAATATTTTGGAAACCCTATGAGGTAGTTATTATCATGCTTTTCCTTCTCTGTATTTCTTAAATGGGGAAATTGAGGTTAAAGGTCACATGGCTAGGAAAGACCCATGGCTGCCTCTGGACAAAACCACACTGCTTCTCTAGTCTGAGACCTAAGGGATTCGCTTCAGTTTTTCAGTTGGCAAAGAATGTGAAAGTCTGGAAAAAGCTATTAAAGAAGTCTCTACAAGTCTTTTTCTGGTTAGTCCAGCACCTCTTTGTGATACAAATCCTAACATACACACAAAGGTTGACTCTATAATCTTCAAGGGTATACATAGCAATTTTCTACAAACTCCATCATATCAACTTTTGTTTTGGGGAGGAATGTTTGTAATCAGAGTGCTGTTTGCAAAGCAGAAACATGCACTGTTTTACAAGCAATGGGTAAGAAATGTGTTTACCTACTTCATGCACTAATTAAAAATCTTTTTAGGACAAACTGACAAGTACCATATGTTTAGTGCAGGAATAAGGGGCTTTACACTCAGGGCTAGAGTAGGAGTGTGTTGGCTGTCCTGTAGGCACAAGGCTCCACGGAATCTTTCTGGACCAGGGCAACAACCTAACTGTCACAGCTCAGCTATGTCCTTCTCTAGAGAGATAGCTCTGTTGTTTTCACTTGAGGAGAGTCCTTACTCTGGGGCTAAGGGCAAAGCTTGTATGTGAAGAATTGTAAAAATGAACACTTACAAGTAAGGGCCAGTGTAAATAGGTCAGCAAGTGGTGAAGGGTTAGCATATATATTAGCATAAAAAAAATGACGATGCAGATTTCCAGAATTGTGATTGCTATAAATGACTCATTGGCTTGGGCGATGATGAAACAAGCTAATGCTCCTATGATAAGACTCTGCAATAAAAGAAATAGGATTTGTTTTAATGCACAATTAAAAAAAATCTATAGTGTCAGAATGTAAATCTGATTACAGCATGGTGCAGTGGCCTGTACTGTTTTGCACATACATTTTTAACATTTCTTATATTTTGAAGAAATGAAAAATACATGAGAATAATAAAAAAGCACACAGTATAGAAGGATAAAAAATATATCAATTTCTTTCTCTTCCCCCCAACTCAACCATAGTCTCTCTCCTTAAAAGTAACCAGTATTAACAGTTCATACTGCATACTAGAAAGAAGTCTGCATATATACTGATAAAATACATATATGTTGATTTTGGTAGAAGTCGTGAGGAAAAGCCTCAGTTTTCTTTCTTTCCAAATAGCTGCTGATTATCTCAACATCATTTATTGGGAAATGCCAGTATTATCCCCATCGATCTGAAATCCAACCTTTATGGTATACTAAATTCTCAGATGTATTTTGGTCTCTTGAGACTGTTCTTTCACTGAATTGTTGCTTCCTTCTCTAGTACTCTGTGATAGGCAATTCACTTTCTACTGAGTTATTGTTTGGCCTAGTCTTCCTATTACTCATTCTCAGACTGTTTATGCCTCCGATGCTTGTGTTGGTCAAGTTCCCCAAGCTAAGTGTTGGCATTTTAGTTGGGATTTCTAAATGAAGTACTTAAATACTTATAATTTGGAAGAATTCACACTTTAGTTTTTCTCAAGAACAAAGTATGTCTTTCTAGTTATTCTGGTGGTTTTAAAAAAGATGTCTCAGGAGAGTTTTAAAGTTTTCTTCCCATATGTGTATCATATTTCACTTATTTTTAGATATTTGATCATTTTGATTACTGTTGTAAAGAGAAATATTTTATTAAATTTTAAGTGGTTATTTGTCTAGGAAAGCTTTTAGTTTATTTATTAACACAATAATGAGTCACCTAACTAAATTATCTTGTTCTAAATTGTTTCCAGTTGATTTGGGTTTTTCTAGATATATAATCACATTAGCTGAAAGAAAAGATATATTTTACCTCTTTTTTTTTTTTTTTTTTTTTTTTTTTTTTTTTTTTTGAGATGGAGTCTTGCTCTGTCACCCAGGCTGGAGTGTAGTGGCATGATATCAGCTCACTGCAACCTCCAACTCCCAGGTTCAAGCGATTCTCCTGCCTCAGCCCCCTGAGTAGCTGGGACTACAGGTGTGCAGCACCACACTTGACTAATTTTTGTATTTTTAATACAGATGGGGTTTCACCATATTGACCAGGCTGGTCTTGAACTCCTCACCTGAGATGATTTACCCACCTTGGCCTCCCAAAGTGCTGGGATTACAGGTGTGAGCCACCATACCTGGCCACCTCTTTTCAAATATTTTTTTCTTCCTAATTATGACTAGTGGTTTCAGAAAAATTGACTCACAGTGTAGCAGGCATCATTTTTTCTCCTCATTTAACGAATCCTTCTGCTGTTAAATATGATGGTCTTAGTTTGAAATGTTTATTTTTATAATGCCAATGGAATATTTATATACTCCTATCTTACTGGTCTCCCTTCTTGAAAATCAGGGACAAATGTTGAATTTTGTCACGTTCTGTGACATAATCTCATAATTTTTTATAATGTGATATCTCATTTTTTCCTATTATTTATAATACAGTGAATTATTTTAATAGAGTCAATATTGAATCATCCTGTTTCTTCCTTGTGGTATTATATTTTCATAAAGTAGTGATGAATATTATCTGCTAATATATTGATATTATGCCGGCCACATCCGCCCAGCTAGGTCTCACCAGCTTTCCGCTCACCATTCTCAGGATCTTCAACATTCCCGTGGGCGAGAAGAAAAAACGCTTGAGGCTGTCCCTGAATTTGTACGGGACTTTGGCTCGGCCCTCCGCACGCTCTTTGATCGCTGTCTCATTTAAGAGTTTGGACTCAGTGGGTGCAGAGGGCGTTGGGCGTGGGGGTGTGGGCGTTGGGGGTGGGCGTTTGGTGGCTTTCCTTGAGGGTGCAGTGCCCTCGCTGCCTTTGGGACCTGCGGGGGCTACGGACTGCACTGTGCGAACTGAGACTGCAGAGTGCTTCCGGGGTGCGGTCTTCGCTGACATGTCGCGCCGTGCCTTGGGTACAGAACTCACTACACTGCCGCCACTTGCCAGGGCTGTGGCAGTCTCTGGTTGTTTCAAGCTCCCTGAAGGTGCCTTGGACGACTCAGGTTTGGTATCTTCAGGATTCATGGTGAGTCCCAAGGGCCTGGCCGTCTGAACCAGTTGCTGCAGCAGCGGCTGGCTCTCCCCTGGGAACCAGCGTCACGTCCCAACGGCTGCTACCTCCCCGGCACGCGCACTGGTTTCTCGCTGCCCCGCCGACAAGCTGAGCCCTTCAGCCACCCTTGTTGCCATGGGGGGTGGGGTGGGGGCGGTGGGGGGGTGGGGTGGGGGCGCTGGGCGGGTGGGGTGGGGGCGGTGGGCGGGTGCAATGTCAATGCCTAGCCTGAGAACGCAAAACCTCTGCAACCCCACCCCTCGGAGCTGCAAACCCGCCAGGCAGTAAAGAGATTCAAAGATCCCCAAGGCCGATCCTGGCACATTCTTCCCTTGCCACACCACCCAGGCTGGGGGAGCCGGAAAACCCAATCCCTTGGAAGTTACAGCAGTGCTCTGCGCTGGGCGCAAAGTTCGCAAATCTCTTCCTCCAACTCCGACACTGAGTTAAAATAACCGCAGAAAATATGTGGAAGAATAAAGAAATACGTTTAATACTTAGTATTAAACTAAAAAGTAATATAAAATTACAAAACTTATTTTTTTTCATGAACAGGCTTTTTCTGGTAAGGACCACTGGGATTGAACAGAAGCTTCCGGTAAATAAGGGCTCCGTCGGCAAGACAGCACACTACTGCCACAAGTGCACACACCTGGAAAGAAAGACACATGTCACTGCCCTAACCATGGCCCCCACTCCCGTCATTCACACAAGTGTTAAGTGGTATGCCCGCCAGACTCCTCTCTGGCTAGGGCACTCAGATTGCCCCTGTGCTGCACCTAATACTAACATGGAAAGATTCAGAGATCATCTTATTCTCCTCATTGCAAAGTTTTCTAGATACTTGCCTATAGAAAGAGAAAAGGTAATTTAAGTGAGCAGAAAAATAATGAAGCAGTGCGGGCTCTGAAATAAATACTTGTTTGCTTTTATCTCTTGACCTGCTCTTACATGTATTCTTTTAAGCCCTACTGAGGATATTTAGGTACCAATCAATATTTCTAACCCCAGTATTCAATACTTTGACTTCTCTGCTGACAAACTCTAGGGAAGACAAGGTCAAAGTTAACACCAGCTCAATATTAAATCATGGGGACTGTAGCTCCAAAAAACTGAAGTTAGTAAGATGAGCCAAAGTGAACTCTCAAAGGCTAGGCTACATCTGATTAAGGGGTGACATTCTAAATAGGCCTTAAGAAAGTAAAATTAAGGGAAAGGCAATAAACAAGACATGTGGGGGCCTTCAGACACTCTGATGGCTATTGGAGAGCTGGTGCCGGGGATGGAGGAGGTGATGTCATTCCTTGCACGCTGTTTGATCAGCTTCATCCAGTGATCAGGAAGTTCGGCTTCCTGGCTCTAGACATGGCTCTCACAGTCTCCTTTTTTACCCAGAGTCTCAAGCCACCGCCTCCTAGGTTCTGACCACATTGAATACCTGCTACCAATCTTTTCATGACTGGCATTCTGTACATTATTGGCTCCTCTACCTGGAAACTTTTCACTTTTATCTCCTTTATTCTCAGCAAATAGCAATTCCACTGCCAGAGAGGTAGTTTCCTCTTTTCTGCACCCTGCAGCTCCCTGTCAACAGCTTACATACAGTGGTTTCCACTTCTGCCTCTGTTAGGCTCTAAGCAACGTGAGGATAGGGCTCACACTCTAGTCCAGTGCTGCCTAAAAGAAGCATAATGCCAGTCACATGTAACATAGCCATACAATTAAAGATTTTTTAAGAGCCACATTATAAATGTAAAGAAATAAGTCATAGATTTAATATATTTTGCACAGTATATCTAAAACACTATCATTTAACATGCAATCATTAACAATATAGTCTATATTCTTTGTTTGGGTAAAACATCTTTGAAATTCAATGTGTATTTTTATGCTTACAGCTGATATTGATTCAGACTGGCCACATTTCCAGTACTCAGTAGTCCCAGGTGGCTAGCAACTGCTGTTACTATACTGAACAGCACAACTCTATACTTTGTCAGCCCCTGCTGAAGTACACTTAAGAAATGAGGAAATGAATGAATGAGTAAAAATGTGAATGAAAGTAAATCCTATGCCTGGTTCCCTCCTTCTTCATAGTAGAAAGATGAGTATTAACTTCAAAAACAACAGGGGGAAATTGATACACAGCGATCTCATTTCTAGAATATTCTGATCTTTCATGAAGTTGCTTAGGCCCTAAGGGAGATGAAAATCATGGATTCTGACGTATATGACTATCTGTGAGTTCTCCTAAGTGACCCATACTATGAAAGAACAAGGAAGCAGGAAGATTTATTTAAGAACTTTCTAATTCAATTCTCTAGGACAGAACTTAGAAAAGCCAAAAGATTTTGAGCCTTATATGAGAAATCTTAGAAGAATATCAGATAGAACTATAACTAAATTACTTGAGTCATATTCTGGTTTGCTTTCTAGGATAGGTCTGATGGAACTGATCTGCTTCTCCTCAAGCAGTATTCAAAATGATCCTTTAGTTGCAAGGTACCCTATCAATGTTCCCTTACCATAAGGGCACCTTGTATTCTATTCTATCTGAAGGATCTGAACAAGAAATAACTGAGCTCAAAACAGTCTGTCTCATCCTAACAACTGATATGTATCCTTTTCTATAAAAGGGAGAGCTATGAAACCTATCCATCTTTTTTTGTTTGTTTTGCTTGACATCAGGTTTCTCAGAGCTAAGTGCTGTAACTAATTCTAGTAGCATCTTTTGTGAGTCTAGTCTAGCCCTACGTACCTATAAGAAATTTGTAGGAACCTCTTTATCAGGTTAATTCCACTTCTAGTATAAAATCATATTCCTTCATATTAATCACGGCAGCATTCACAGACAAAAATATCAAGCTGGCTGGGTGTGGTGGCTCATGCCTGTAATCCCCAGCACTTCTGGAGGTTGAGGTGGGCGGATCATGAGGTCAGGAGATCAAGACAATCCTGATCAACATGGTGAAACCCCGTATCTACTAAAACACAAAAAATTAGCTGGGCGTAGTGGTGTACCCCTGTAGTCCCAGCTACTCGGGAGGCTGAGGTAGGAGAATTGCTTGAACCCAGGAGGCGGAGGTTGTAGTGAGCTGAGATTGCGCTACTGCCCTCCAGCCTGGTGACAGAGCAAGACTCCATCTCAAAAAACAAAAACCAAAATTATTAAGCCACTAGGTACTGTATATTGGTCTAGGAACCTCAAGGATGAATACAGTATAGCTTTCTATTCTTACCTCTGTTTTCCAAATAAATTTGCATTCTGATAAAACCTGAAGAAAGAAACCAGAAAGATTTTCACTTACCCCTCCAACAACTGTCAACGTTGTGGTTTCTGGTATCAGTGCCAACACAGCTACGATGAGCATGAATACTGTTGTTACCAGTGAGTTGATAATATCCTAAAAACACACAATAAAGCTCAGCCTTACATGAAGACTACCACGCAATGCTTAAAAAAAAAAAAAAAAATTATGTCAGCAAGCCTGATGCCCTGGCTCACGCCTGTAATTCCAGCACTTTGGGAGGTGGATGGATCACTTGAAGCCTGGAGTTTGAGACCAACCTGGCTGACATAGTGAAACCGTCTCTACCAAAAATACAAAAATTAGCTGGGTATGGTGGTGTATGCCTGTAATCCCAGCTACTCGGGAGGCTGAGGCACAAGAATGGCTTGAACGTGGGAGGTAGAAGTTACAGTGAACCAAGATCATGCCACTGCATTCCAGCCTGGGCAACGGAGTGAGGCTCTGTTTCAAAGAAAGAAGTCAACTTCCTAAATATTTTAAAAGTTTAATTTTAAAAAATTTATTTAGTATTTATCTTTCAGGAAACCAAAATGTCACAGTAAAATGATACCTAGATAGTATTTGGTCTATAATGACACCTAGTGGTTTTCTTTTACCTATAATATGCCAATCATTTACTTAATACGCTTTTATTTCTTTTTTACTTAACATAAATATAGTTGAAGGGAAAACTTATCTGATTAGGAAAGCAAGTACTATGTAGAAAGTTTAAGTTAGAATGGTTGCCATTGGGGAGTAAAAATGCTCATTTTTAATAACATAAGAAAATGCAGAGTAGACTACATTCTATATCAAACTTTATGTTACTAAAATTCAATTAATGCTAGGAGCTGTGACTCACATCTATAATCCCAACACTTTGAGAGGCTAAGGTGGATGGATCACCTGAGGTCAGGAATTCGATACCAGCCTGACCAACATGGTGAAACCCCATCTTTACTAAAAAATACAAAAATTAGCCAGGCATGGTGGTGAGCCTCTGTAGTCCCAGCTACTGGGGAGGCTGAGGCAGGAGAATGGCTTGAACCCAGGAGGCAGAGATTGTAGTGAGCCAAGATTACACCACTGCATTCAAGTGTGGTGACAGAGCCAGACTCTGTCTCAAAAAAAAAAAAAAAAAAAAATGCAGTAACACTTAAAATAGGACACACATAAGTGGTAATTTTCAGGAAAACCTCCACATACATCTCTATGCAATGGATGACCAATTATGCTATTATTGCTGATTATATACTTCATTCATTTAATACTTTTACAAAGTAAAAATTATTTTCATTCTTAACTGTAACTTTAAGAAGTGAAATTTACATTTTTAAAATGGATCGGTAGTGTGCGAAAGGTAAACTGTCTAGTTGAGAGGTTTATGTATATTTGCAGATAATCATAGGCAGGAAGGAATAACACAAATACCAAACTACAAAACCCTGGTAATTTAGAAAAGCAGTTATTAAAAAGAAAGTAGGAAGAGGTTTAATGTGGGCAGGGCAAGATCAGATATACTTAGGAAGAAAAAAGTTCTCATTTGTAGGAGATACTGACACTACCTATTCTAGGTTAACTCTTGTCTGTGTTGGATATTTTGCTCTGCTTCAAAAGGCAACAGGTCAAACTCCTACCTCAGACAGGCAGCCTGCATCCTGTGAGCAATCTGGGCAAGTGTTTATAGATGGCTTTGGGTCAAAGTGGTGTTCTGGGAGTGCAGAGAACCACAGCCGGGGGTCGGGGTGGGGTGGGGAGGGGGAGGATATGCCTGCCCTGGAATACCGATGATCCTTAAGAGTAATTTAGAATGTTGCTTTTATATTAAAAATGAAACATCTCTATGCCACAGAGTAGAATGTAAATTTCATTACAAAAATAGAGATTTCAAAGGAATTTTGAGCCTACGCGTAGATACTACCTCAAAGCCCCAGGATAGCTCATTTTGTGTGTTTTCTGTCATTTGAGGCACTTGGGGGAGCAATCAGAGAAGGCCTGCTCTACAGACTGAATCAAGGACTACAACTTTGGGACAATCTGAGTGGAGATGATCAAGCCCTCTCCTAATTAGCAAAGGCAGTGGCTAGCAGATGGAAGTACTTACAAGTTACCTTTTCCCCACCTACAGATTAACTGGAACCATTAGCCATCTCTGTGTCCTTCACTTTAGGTAAGAGCCCCAGGCAAATTCAACTGTGCTCTGGCTCCAATTCTACTCTGCAGGGACCTCTATGCATTGCTTTTATTTGTCCCTGGCCATATTTCCTCAACTCAGCGATGATCCCTTGAGTTGTCTCTTTTCTTCCCTGCTAAGTCCCACAACTTTCCTGTCACTTGCCCACTGGAGGCAAACTCCTCTGGAAAAGGTCACCAGGGGGCAGACTGTGTGAGTGTGCGTGTGCGTGTGTGTGTGTGTGTGTGTGTGTGTGTGTGTGTATACACTTCTCTGTATATATATATATATATATATATATATATATATACACACACATATATTTCTCTGTTTAAATATGTCCCTTCTTCTCGAAATGTATTCCCATCTTGGCTTCGGTGACAGCAGTCTCCCTTGGGTTCCCTCCTGCCTTTTCTGGTCACTCCTCATCTCATACGTTGGCATTTCCCAGTTTTACCTTCAGCTCTCTCTATACTTGCTCTGAGCCATTTTGGCCAGTCCAAGTTCAGTTAATATCACAAGGTAGGCCGGGCATGGTGGCTCAAGCCTGTAATCCCAGCACTTTGGGAGGCCGAGGCAGGTGGATCACGAGGTCAAGAGATCAAGACCATCCTGGTCAACAAGGTGAAACCCCGTGTCTACTAAAAATACAAAAAGTTAGCAGGGCATGGTGGTGCATGCCTGTAATCCCAGCTACTCCGGAGGCTGAGACAGGAGAATTGCCTGAGCCCAGGAGGCGGAGGTTGCGGTGAGCCGAGACCGCGCCATTGCACTCCAGCCTGGGTAACAAGAGCGAAACTCCGTCTCAAAAAAAAAAAAAAATTAAAAAAAAAATCACAAGGTCATGCCTCCTAAAGCTGCAGCTCTACTTCCTCTTAAGTTTCACATCATTTTTGAACATTGCCATATAAATATCTCATAAGTAACTAAAATCTAGTATTTCTCAAGCTAAAGTCATCACACACTGCTCTCCTGCAGCCCTCCTTAAACATATTCTTCCTCTCTCAGTATCCTCTCAAGACATGGAGGCTAATCATCTGATCATGCCACTCTCCTACTTAAAAACCTCCAGAAACTCCCAACAGCCTTTGGGTTAAAGTCCAGGGCACACAAACCCTTGTATGCTCTGACCCTGTTTTCTCAAACCTCACTCTTGGCCCGGCTCTTGTTCACAACTCAATACCCCAGCCATTCAGATATACCTGCAGGTCCTGGAGGGTCATGTTCTTTCTCTACGCAGACCCTCACATATGCTGCAGCTTTTCTAGCAGAAAAGCACTTCATTCTTCAGCCCTCAGTTTGGGCAGTTTTTCTTCACAAGCCTACTGTGATTTGGTCCCTTTCCCTGGCTGGGTTGCATCCACAGCATCCTAGGTGTGTAAATATCACAGCACCTACTCTCTGTGTTGCTTCCTGGGTGCATTTAATGTTGCTGAGGTACAAGATTTTTGTTTTGTCTTACCAAAGAACCAATTACAGAATCTAGGATTAGCAAACACTTAACATTTGCTGAATAAATAATTTCATTAGATCAAGATCAGAAAGGAATCTGGGTTTCATAACAGAGCAAAAACTTAGTTACCCATATAACACCCCATTTCTAAGAGACACAATATCAGTAAAGTTTGATCCTCAGAAGTTTGGGAAATATTCTTTTCAGTGTGCTATACATAAGCTACTCTCTCTCAGTACACTCTGTTACACTCAGAGCTCCAAGTTTATTACCGGGACATGTAAGAAACTTCAAGGAATTGCTAGTTTGGAGAAAAAGAAAGGCTAAAATGTGTTAGTTTTATTAAACTCTAGAGAAGCAGAGTGTAAAGAGCAACTATACAAGATCAAAAGGATGTGGACCAGTGTTCATTATTTTCTTGAAGAAATCTTTACAACAATTTAGGTTAGCCCTTTCTGCCACTAAATGAGGGCCAACTGAGGAAGGCTTTGTAATCACCTTTCCTAGACCTCCCTCCAATCAAGTCCAGCTCTGAAGTGTAGATCAAGTAGTTTTGAGAGGTGCTATGAAGATCCTATCTGTTTCCCAGCTTTTCCCTTTTAGAACTTTTAAAAACTGTATGATTAGCCTGAAATGCTTGCCACTGCCCTTGAAGGTGGTTGCAGAATGTACCATTTTAAGGCATGGTTATGGTTTAAGAGTAGCTCTAAAGTCTTTTCTCCTTAATAGGAATTATCAGTTTGGATATTAGCACTGTGGCATCCAAGAGGATGAGACCAGTGCAGCAGAGGAGGACATGGCAGCTATCAGTCCAGCCAAAGAGGAGAAGGGCAGCAGGCGCATTTAGGAGGGAGACCTATGGAAACAGGATATTGGGGATAAGACTTGCAAGAGGACAGAGGTGAAATCACTTAGTTTTTTCTTAGAATCAGCTTCTAGTCCAGGCTGAGGGGCTACAGACATCTTAACTAATAACTTTAATCTACCCAATTTGACAGTTTTCAGAACCATCTGGGCATTACACTAGGCAGTTATTCCTACTGCTGAGTATGGCAGGTTGCAGTCTATATATTATGAAATATAAGAGGTGCTAACATTGTTTAGTAATGACTACAGACCTTCTCATGTGAGATAACATTGCGCTTTAGCCTCCCCAATTGGTTTGATTTTCCATTTAGTGATCAGGGATGTGCAAGGATAGATACTTGTGTATCTATCTCTATCTGTGTATCTGTCTCTATCTCCCAATTTTTAGGCCATATTAACATGCATTCAAATAGGTAATAAAGATTAAGAATGCACTATAATTTTATTAACATCATCCTAAATTTAAATTTCTTTAGAAGATCTATCTAAGCGAATTCTAACAGAAACGTCAGCCTGCATCTACTGAAAGATGGTGCAGAGAGAACTTATGCTCTGTGGCTGCAAACTCTTCCAAGGGCAATACAGAGCACATTAGCAATGGGTAGAGCTCCTCCTTCCTAAGCCTTTCAGAGATCACCTTAAAGGTTTAACAGAAGCAAAAAAGAGAGTTTCTTAAAATATCTCACTATAGTAGGAAAAAGTAAAATTTAAGGATGAAACTGAACACTTACAAGCAAAGGCCAAAATAACCACTTCATTAATCGATCAAGTCTGAGTATATATAAAATTATGAAAAAGAAAATAACAGTGACTTCAAATCCAGTGATAACAATATATGGTTCAGGGGCTTGTGCGATGATAAAAAAGGTCATAGATGCCGCAGTTAGTGCCTAGAAGAAAAAAAACCCATGATTTATTCAGTGACAACTGAATACAAACTTAAACTGTAAAAATGACGATTTCTAAAATAACTAAATAGGCCAGGTGCAGTGGCTCATGCCTGTAATTCCAAGCATTTCAAGAGGCTCAGGTAGGAGAATCACTTGAGACTAGGAGTTCAAGACCTGGGCAACATAATGAGACCTCATCTCCACATAAGCAAACAAAAATAACCAGATACTGGTGTTTCTGCCGTATATACCACATATAAAACAGGCATGGCTAAAGTATACGGATATTGACTTCTCTTTGTCTTTTAGAGACTAGGTATTCCTCTCTGTTTTAAGTCTAATTAATTACTCCTCTTGTGCTTCTAACACCATCACTTCCCACATCAGTTCTCTTGATTTTTTTTTCCATTAAATACTTCTTTCCCTCTTGTACTTTCAAACTGTCCTCTGCTAGCTCTTTTCCTCATCATCCTATAAACATCTCAGTTGCCTTCTTTTAAAACACACACACACACACACACACACACACACACACACACACACTCTTTCCCCTCATCCTGCTGCCCACAGAAACCCTTGTTCTGTTTGCTACTTTTGTTCTGCTTCCTCAAAAAGTCTGTATACTGGCTGTCTATAATTTCTTACCATTGATCACTCCTAATTCTTAACAATCTGGAGACTACTGTAAGATTTAAACTTAGAATGTTGCCAAGAAAAATATTGAGGAACAAAGTTCAAAACAAATTGTCAGGCTGGGTGCGGTGGCTCACAACTGTAATCCCAGCACTTTGGGAGGCCAAGGCAGATGGATCGCCTGAGGTCCGGAGTTTGAGACCAGCCTGGCCAACATGGTGAAATCTTGTCTCTACTGAAAATACAAAAATTATCCAGGTGTGGTGGCAGGCGCCTGTAATCCCAGCTACTCAGGTGGCTGAGACTGGAGAATCGCTTGAACCTGGGATGCAGAGGTTGCAATGAGTAAAGATCATGCCTCTGTACTCTAGCCTGGGTAACAGAACAGATTCTGTCTCGAAAACAAACAAACAAACAAACAAAAAAAAACAAAAAACAACAACAGAAAAAGAAAATTGTCAAGAGAAAAACAATTCTGATGTTTAATAGGTTTATTACCGAAGTACCAATTTTTATACACTTCCACCTAAACGATGCAATCAGAATTTAAGCAATTTTAAGTGGAAAAAAAAAAACAACTCTGAAATTTCTTCATTTCCAAATGAAGACACAGAACATGGCAATGTTAAGTGAAAAAAATAGCTGGTGGGTCCCAGGGGAGTTTTGTCAATGTTCTTAGGAAATAAAGCTCTCTCCAAAGCTCTGTGTTTTTGGTAAATGGTTTGGTCAAGAGTCATCCCTAGCTAGACTTTTAAAATATCCTGTCAGCTGGTAACATACACATACTCATTTTAACTTTAAGTCCATACAGGTTACTTATTCATAATTCTTTCAGTTATTTTATTAGCATAAATATGCCCTACTTTTAAACTTCTAAATTGGTCAGTTTGATTACTAATAACTAGTTCTTAAGTAACTTCATTCTTTATAATTAACATAATGACTATTAGCAACACATCATCTCATATCACTCCAGTTCCTCTACTGGACCAGGTCTGAGCCCACAGATTATGAAATGAAGAGCTACTTTTTCATTCCCTATCCTCTGTAACCTTCTTGCATTACGGTACTTTTGCACTAGTGATTACTCCATTTCCTAAAACGTTTCTGTGGTTTCTGTCACACTGGGTTCTCCTGTAATTTGTATTTATAGCTCTTACACCTTTCCTAAGCTCCTGGCGTTTGTTTCCAGTTAGCTTTTAAGTATCTCACACATTACCACTCTATGAATATTGCTTTTGCTCATATCATCAGTGATTTCAGAAATCCTAAATTTAATGACTTACTTTTTTTTTCTCTAGTGCTTTCAGTTTCTGTTTAATAATGAACCTTTTCCAGTCCTTATCCTAGTGAACCTCTGTGACTTTATTGACATTGGCTGTCCTTCCCCCACTACTGTTTTCTTCTGGCTCCATGTCACTTCTCTGAGATTTTAAACCTCTGCAACTGTTCTCTCTGGGTGGGTTCCTCTCCTTTTAACTACCCCTTTAAAATGCTGTCATTCTCAGTCCACTCAATGAGTCTGAGTCTCTATCCCAGGTCCCTGGTCCATCCTCCACATTTCACACCTAAGTAGCCATTTAGAATCCCCACCTGGAAAACCTACAGGAATCTCAATTCACTGTGTCTAAAACTGAAATTCTGCCCCTTCTTCCTGGATTCACAACCTCAATTGGTTGTACCACAATCTACCTTATTGCCCATACCAGGAACCTAAGATCACTATTTCTACCCATTCCCCAACTGATCCAGGTCCTGCTGACTTAATGCCTAAATATTTTGGACACTTCCTCCTCTTCATCCTTACAGCTATTACTCTTCAGCATCTTTTCCATGAACTATCATGACGTAGATGCTACAGTAAAATTTCTAACGTGCAAATTTGTTTATGTATTTCTTCAACTATTTAAAATTCTTCAGTGGCACTCCAGGGTCTATGGAATAGCACCTGCTTCTCACCATGTATTCAAGATCTTCCACAATTTGGCTCCTGTCTACTTCTTGAGAAAAGACTTGCTTCACAATTTATCCACACGAATCAAACTTCTGATCCTCTTTTCACATTTGCTTTATCAATACCGACCTCAGTGGATGGCAACTGCATCCTTCCAGTTGCTTAGACCAAAAACTTTAGAAGTTGTCTTGGACTTCTTTCTTTCTTTTAGCCCACATCTGGTTGATCAGCAAATCTTGTTGGTGCTAATTTCGAAATACTATATCCCAAACATGACCACTTCTTATTACCTACTCTGCTACCAACAGCCACTATTGTCATCTTCTGCCAGATTACTGCAGTTGACCTCCTTGGTTCTACCTCTGCCCCAGAAGTAATGCCCTCCTGTCCCCCCACCAATCTACTGTCAATATAGCAGCTAGGATACTTTTTTTTTTGAGCCGAAGTCTCACTCTGTTGCCCAGGCTGAAGTGCAGTGGGGTGATCTTGGTTTACCTCAACCTCTGCCTCCCGGGTTCCAGTGATTCTCCTGCCTCAGCCTCCTGAGTAGCTGAGCTTACGGGCATGTACCACCACACCTGGCCAATTTTTTTTTTTGCATTTTTAGTAGAGATGGGGTTTCACCATGTTGGTCAGGCTGCATAAACTACTGTCCTCCAATGATCTGGCCTCCCAAAGTGCTGGGATTACAAGGTAAGCCACCATGCCTATCCTAGTATACTTTTAGAATGTAAGTTAGATCATATACTTTACACAAAACCTTCCTCATCTTCACTCACTCACCCCAGTCCAGTTACACTGGTTTCCTTGCTCTTTCTTGATGCCTTCATGCACGTTCCTGCCGTAAGGCCACTGCACTAGCTTTTCTCTGCTTTAAACACTCTTCTTCCAGTTATTCTCATAGCTAACTCCCTCATCTCATGCAAATCTTTGATCACATGTCATCTCAACAAAGCTTAGAATTCTTTTTTTTTTTTTTTTTTTTTTTTTTAGATGGAGTTTCGCTCTTGTTACCCAGGCTGGAGTGCAATGGCGCGATCTCGGCTCACCGCAACCTCCGCCTCCTGGGTTCAGGCAATTCTCCTGCCTCAGCCTCCTGACTAGCTGGGATTACAGGCAAGCGCCACCATGCCCAGCTACTTTTTTGTGTTTTTAGTAGAGACGGGGTTTCACCATGTTGACCAGGATGGTCTCGATCTCTTGACCTCGTGATCCATCTGCCTCGGCCTCCCAAAGTGCTGGGATTACAGGCTTGAGCCACCGCGCCCGGCCAAAGCTTAGAATTCTATTCATTATTTCAACTTTTCACTGCAACTCCCTCCCCACCTTACACTCCCTTACCTGGCATTTACTTTTCTCTTTGTTCCACAGCACATACCACTTTCTAGAATACTACAATTTATTTATTGGGTTTGCCTTCCCTCCCCTCCCATCCCAGTATGTATACTCCATGAGGGCAGGGATCTTTGTTTTTTGTTCACTAGTATTTCTCAAGAGCCCAGAACAGTGCCTGGCACATGACAGGCATTATACAGATTATTTGTTGAATAAACAAATGAGGCAACACTCAACTTTTCATAGTTCTCTGCGTCAACTGTGCTATTTTTTGCCTCCATGCCTTTACTCAGGCAGCTCTTAGATCCAACCCTAGATTGCTCTAGGAAGAGTTTTTCTCTGACACCTCTCTATTTCCTTGGTTAGATGCCTCACTTCTGTGTCTTATCTCCACCTTATCACATATTATAACTATCTGTTCATGGGTCTATTTCATAACTAAATGGAAGAACTCCATAAGTCAGGGACTTTTGTCCTGGTTTTTCTTTGCTGTTCCAGCTCCTAGCCCAGAGCTTGGACCATATTAAGTATTCAAATCGTTTGTTGAAGGAATTAATATGTCAAAAACTAACCATGTCATAGAACATGGTTCCTCCTTCAGTTCAAGATCTTCCCTTTTTCAGTGTTCAAGATCCCAGGCCTTCAGTCACTTTTTCCCTGATTATTTACTCCCAATCAAAAGTTATCTCTCCTTCCCTTGACTTCAGAGTGGTTTTCTAAACCTCTGATGTATCTCAACTTGCAAGATAAGAAAGCTACTTCTCGAAATCACAGACTTTTGGTATGGGAAGGATCTTATATGCACTTTATTCAACCCACTCACCTTAAGTTTGAGTCTCCTTTATACACACACACACACACACACAAACACACACAACACACACACGCACACACACATTTATTTATTTTTGAGATGGAGTTTTGCTCTGTTGCCCAGGCTGTAGTGCAATGGCATGATCTTGGCTCACTGCAACCCCTGCCTTCCAGGTTCAAGTGATTCTACTTGCCTTGCGAGTAGCTGGGATTACAGGTATGTGCCACCAGGCCCAACTAATTTTTTTGTATTTTTAGTAGAGACAGAGTTTCACCATGTTGGCCAGGCTGGTTTTGAACTCCTGACCTCAGGTGATCTGCTTGCCTTGGCCTCCCAGGGTGGCTGAATTACAGGTGTTAGCCACTGCACCTGGCATTTTTTTTTTTTGAGATGAATTCTTGCTCTGTTGCCAGGCTGTGCAGTGGCACGATCTTGGCTCACTGTGACCTCTGCCTCCTGGGTGCAAGCGATTCCCGTGCCTTAGCCTCCAGAGTAGCTGGGACTACAGGTGCGCACCACCACACCCAGTTAAAATTTTTTTTGTATTTTAGTAAAGACGGGGTTTCACCATGTTGGCTAGGATGGTCTCGATCTCCTGACCTCCATGATCCGCCTGCTTCGGCCTCCTAAAGTGGTGAGATTACAGGCATGAGCCACTGCGCCCAGCCAGAGTCTCCTTGATAACATCCTCACCAAGTGCTCACCTATGCCTGGTACTTTTGTCTGGGAATGTACTGCCTTCCCAAGTGGCCATTTAGTTTTGGGAACTCTCCCAATGTAAAATCCCTCCTCACATTAATTGGAAATGTTTTCCTTGTAACTTTGAACTATCTCTGTTTCCCCTCTCCCACCTGTCAACTCTTTAAAACTTAAAACGATTTATTTTTTCCTTCTCTGTGAATTCCTGTGAATTCTCTGTGAATTCCTCTAATGATGAGTTTCTAGGACAGATTCCTTCAACTAGGATAGTTTCCATTTCTCTAACTAGCTAGATCACTTCTCTCCGAACGATCCACTTTCTCCAAACCTCTGTTCAGAAGCGACTGCAATGCTCCTGGTAGGAAGTCTGCTCCTAGAAACAAGCCGTTCTCTCCCTCTTTGTCCTGGCTCTGGGCTGTATCAGCCTCGAAGTCAGTTATATCTAACATCTGACTTATAGAAGTCCTCACAGCATTCACCAAAACCCCTCAGGTTTTTTTTTTTTTCTTTTTCTTTCAAATCTTGTGGGCTTCTGAGCAGTATAACTGCAGCTGTCTCACTTGATAACCTGCGTACCTGGTTTGTGGGTCCAAATTTAGACCATTTAGGTAGATCTGATTTTTAAATTAAAAAGAAAAAAAGCTTTTTGGCTGGGCACGGTGGCTCACACCTGTAATCCTAGAACTTAGGGAGGCCGAGGAGGCGGATCACGAGGTCAGGAGTTCAAGACCAGTCTGACCAATATAGTGAAAGCCCTGCCTGTACTAAAACTACAAAAAAATTTAGCTGGGCGTGGTGGTGGGCACCTGTAGTCCCAGCTACTTGGGAGGCTGAGGCAGGAGAATTGCTTGAACCCAGGAGGCGGAGGTTGCAATGAGATTGTACCATTGCACTCCAGCCCGGATGACACAGCCAGACCCTGTTTCTTAATTTTTTTTTTTTTAGACAGAGTCTGTCTCTGTTGCTTAGGCTTGTGTGCAGTGGTGCAGTCATGGTTCACTGCAGCCTCGAACTCCTGGGCTCAAGCGATCCTCCTGCCCCGGGCCTCCCAAAGTGCTGGGACCACAGATGAGGGCCACAAATCCTGCCCTCTCTGGTTTTGATGGATGTGTCCCCAAACCCTCCAAAGGGGAGGACAGTGCCGTACCTCTCCTTCTTCCCCTACAAGGCCGTGCCTTGCCTTTCAATCTTGATCAAAGCGAGGCTGAAAAGCAAACAGGGCGTTCAGCCTCGCACTTCATAGCCACATCTCCCACCCACATCTCCCACCCCACAGCAGCTACAACAGCCTCCCACCCTCCGCGCCCGTCCTCACCAGCCGCAGCATCTTCACGTGGCCTTTCACACTGAAGCAGAAGGGGCGATGTTTTAGTTTCAGCTGCACGGTGTCCATTACGCCTGCAGACCCAGCGCCGCACTTCCCCTCAACTCTTCTGCGCCGCAACCGCAACTGTCACCGCGCCGCGCACCACCCTCCCGGGCTTCTCACTCAGCTGTCGCTCTCGCGCATGCGCCCCTAGGAATTCCGACGCCGGCAGCCCTCGCTAGTCTCCTCTCTCTCTTCTTGCGTAGCACATTCGCAGGCCTAGAGCAGGGTCACGCGGGCCAGCGCCCTGTAAGCCTGCCCTGTTCTGGCCCGGCCTTAATGACCGCAGCATTCCACCTCTCCCCTCCCAGAGTTGGGAGCAGAGGACAGGGAGGGAGGTCTAGAAATGGCTGCCCCGTTTCCCCATACATTGGCCATTGTGAATATCACCTCCTCAAAGGGCATCTCTGTGGCTCATTCCGTCTAGAGCAGCCACCATCACGTCTCAGCATTTATTGCTAGCTGATACATATCATAAAAATGTAAATTCCACAAAAGCAGGGACTGGCTTGCTTCTCTCCCTGCAGGGTCCCAGGTTCTGGCACACAGTAGGTGCAGAATGTGTGCAGCTTCAGATGCTACCGCAGCCCTCAGGGCATCACAGTTTGGACTTGTTCTGAGTATTTTTACTTTTGCCTCCCACTGATGCTGGTTCTTCCGTGTAACAGTTTGAGTCCCTTCAGTACCTGAATTCAATTCATGTTTTTCTCAAGTGCTCCGATGAAGCCAGAGTGCCACCATCTTGGGGCGTTCCTTTTTAGGGATGGGAAGTATATGTCACTCCTTTTATGTGATTTAAATTATATCTTGGATAATTTGACCATCACCCTAGTTCATTCAGATGTTTGGATCCTGCCCATCTCAGCTTCAGTCCATTTCATTCCTTTACATCTGATCAGCAGTTACCTCCAACAGCTTCATCACAAATCATTCACAAAAAATGACCTTAATCCTGACGTTTATTTATGGAGAGCACACTTGCTAGGTGTGTGGCAGATATGCAGGAAGCACAAGATGGGGTGTGGCCACTCTCTGGCAACAGATCTAGAGGAAAATGACTTCCTTCTGCCTGCCTAGAGGTGACTGCCAGCATCGTGCACTCCCGGGAGAGGTGAGAAACCCCTCCGTGCAAGCACTGGATCCTTCACAGTCAAGAGTGGCAACAGCTCCAGTTGCTGGACCTGGGTCTGTTGAATTCTAATACATTGTGACTCCACACCCGGGCTGAATTTTTGCTGAGTTTAGGTGAAATTTATGTGCTTCCTCCCCAGCCCCTATTTGTCCAGTTGGAATATTTGGTTGTGTCTTCCGAAGGGATCTAGTACGTTTAGAGCCTAGACGCTGGAAGTGTCAAAGGTCAGAGGAAAGAGCTCGAGCTGCAAAGCAAGAGAGATGGGGTGGAAGGTGGAATTCTAGCTTCACCCCTTAATGAAGAATGCTTTTTTTTTTTTCTTTTTTTCTTTTTCTTGAGATGGAGTCTCACTCTGTAGCCTAGGCTGGAGTGCAGTGGCGCAATCTCAGCTCACTGCAACCTCCGCTTCCCAGACGATTCTCGTGCCTCAGCCTCCTGAGTAGCTGGGATTACAGGTGCCCGCCACCACACCCAGCTAATTTTCTCATTTTTAGTGGAGACGGGGTTTCGCCATGTTGGCCAAGTCTGCTCTCGAACTCCTGGCCTCAAGTGATCTGCCTTCCTTGGCCTCCCAAAGTGCTGGGATTACAGGCATGAGTCACCGCCCCAGGCCAAAAAAACGTATTTTTAAAAAAAGACTAGTCAAGTGCAGGAGTGAGAAGGGGGGAAAGGGTAGAGCAAGGAGTTCTATCTGTTGCTTCTGATCATTTTGAACAAGTAACCTAATTCTCTGAAGACAAGTTCAGAGTATGGGAGAGACAAAAATCTCTTTTCAGGGTTGTTGGGAGGAATAAATGACATCACGAGTGAGTGTGTGCCAGGTGTCTGATTACAGAAGGTGTTCAATTAAGTAATCTGTAATCATTAATCAACCAGTCAGTCACTGGTATTATTTGCCATCCATTCTCCGAGTGTTGCCAAGTTATGGGTGCGTTCTGCCAGCGTCCCAGCCGTGGGAAGGCTTCTGGCTGCCAGCGGCGAACCTCTCCCTTGGAGAGTATTTCCCCTCTCGCTGAGAAGCTGAAATGCGACCCGGTCTCTTTAAGGCCCAGGCGCCGGGATCCAGGCTGCGCGCCAGGGCTGGACTAGCAGTCGCCGGCGCCGACTCGCGCAGGAAGAAAGCCGGGGCTTCTGGATCTGCTGGCCCGGCTATGCTGCTGCGGCCACTGCGGGGCTGGGCCGCCGGGGCGCTGCGTTGCCTGGGGCAGGGGAGCCTCAGGAGCCCGGCCTCAGGCTCCAGGCCGCGGAGGGTGCACCGCGGGGCCAGGCCTCCGGGTAACACGCGTCTTAGTCCCGCCTCCCAGGAGCCCCTCAGCGCCCCCCTACTCCCCGCCCCTCGGCTCCCGGAACCCGCCCGAGGCCGAAACTCCTCCTCCAAGGCGCGAGATTTCCGTCTCGGCTGAGGCGGGGGCGGTGGCGGCCGTTGGCCGGTACCCGGGCGCCAGGCCGCAGCGAGCGCCGGGGCCGTGGGGTTCTGCGCCCGGCTCTTGTTCCGGGTTGGGCAGAGGGGCTTTAAAGATTAGGACGGACCCCCTGCCCTCTGGGGCGGGGGCTGCTCTGAGCATTGTGGCCCAAACTCGGGTTTCCTGGCCCTATTTTTTCAGCCTTGGGGGCGATGGGGACTGGGAGCTCTCGTAAGCCGATTCTCCTCGCACTTAGTGCCAGCGTCGGGGAGAGAGGGGTTAGCTCCCGGCGCTCTCCTGCCCTCGCCGGGAGTGGGGACCCATTCGGAAACGGGCCATTCTTATAGCCCAGTTCTGGCATCCGACATCTGGCTGTTGAGAGACGCCTCAGAAACACCTGTGGGGCGGATGGGCAGCGATGCCCTCCCTGGGCATAGAGGAACACCTGGGTCCCAGGCACAAACCCACGCCCGCTGCCCCCTCTTCCCCGTGCACCGCCAGTGGAGGCCGCTCTGCCTTTCCACTTGCTCAACACCCAGTCTGTGAAGATCTAAACAGATGACATGTGGAAAATGCAAAGCATAATGTACTAAGTGAGAGAACTCGAGCACACGGGGGCGGGCGCGCGGGGTGGGGGCGGGGGGGGGAGCAGGCAGCTACAAGCCCAGGGTGGCACATAGTTGAGATGGTGGTACGTGCCTCCAACCTCGGAGGGCACCCAAAATGGAAAATATTTTTAGGCCAGAGACGAGCATAAAAATTAGTGTTTTTGTGGTCATGTAGCAAATTAAGGCAGAGGAGAGTTATTTAAAAGTGAGTTTAAAAACTAATTTCCTTTCTTTTGTAGATAGAGAACAGGAAAAAGAGAAAAAATCAGTGGTAAGTTCCTCTTTTATGTGTACTCTCTAGGATAATTTTTATTTATTTTTTTTGAAGAGGAGAGAAGCAGAGTAAAAAGCAAAAATACAAGAGGATCTCCAGGGAGAAGGAACTCTGTCACTCTCCCAGGAGGGCACCACCTCTGTTACCAATTTCTTGTATCTTTCCCCAGAGTCTTCACAGGTAGGAGCACACAAGTATTTGTTTTTATTTATTTCTTTCTTTCTTTTTTTTTTTTTTTTAAAGATGGGGTTTCACCGTGTTGGTCATGCTGGTCTTGAACTTCTGATCTCAGGTGATCCGCCCGCCTTGGCCTCCAAAGTGCTTGGATTACAGGCATGAGCCACCATGCCCGGCCACACACAAGTATTCATATCCTTCAGGTAAACTTAGGCTGTTAAAGCCTAAGGGATGATTGTGAAAGGATTTGAAAAACGCTCATTGTGTTGTAGGGAAGGTCAGTTTCCACTTGGGTTGGGTAGCCCAGATGTGAGAGAACTTCTGCCCATCACCACCCTCTCCCCACAGTGCTGAGAATGGTGTGTGGGCAGGGGATCAGAGAGAATCCATGAGGGTCCACAGATGTGGGTTCAGTCATCAAGGTAGCTTTGAGATGCTCTGGTTTGGAGCTGTGACTGGTGTGAGGTTGAAGGTCGAAGGACGGTTAGGTTAGTGTCCACGGTGATGTTGGGTGCTTTAGCTGGCAGGGGTAGGGAGCAATATTTTGGTCACCATACAAGGCTCATTTCCTTAAGGGAACTGGAATTCCCTAGCTCCTGTGGCTGGGAAGGGGGTGGCTTGGCTAGGGGTGGCAGGAGTACCTTGACTGGGATCTGCAGAGGGTAGACAGTGTGGGCAGGCCCTCAGGGTACTCAGGGTGATGAAGAGCTCTCGGGAAATAGTGAAATCACACAGAGAAGATTGAAATGCTTGAGACTAATGGAAGTTTGTTGAAATTAGAAGGATATGCCAGTGAGTGCCATAGAAGGGGTGGGAAACGCCAAGTTGGGCTGGATGGTAATTAATGTATTAATGTATTATTTTAGTAGAGATGGGGTTTCACTATGTTCGCCAGGCTGGTCTCGAACTCCTGACCTCTTGATTCACCAGCCTTGGCCTCCCAGAGTGCTGGAATTACAGATGTGGGGTTCATCTCTTAGTACATATTGGGATTATGGTTGATAGTTTCTCCTTTTTGATTTTCTCTATTTTCTTCAATGGGCATGCACTCCTCTTATAATATTTTTAGACATCACTTTAAAAAGAAATGTAGACTTCCTTTGCTTGCTTCCTGTTCCCCCTTCCATTTCAGGGGAACTTTGTGAGATTCTTCCTGCGTTGCCTGCTCTAAACTGGAGGGCAGATTGGCTGAGCTCATTCAGGGGCTGACATTCACCAACTCTTCAGGATTTCATGCTGGGAATAGGAACAAGTTTCTGGGAGAAGGGCTTATCTGAACAACCTGTTAAAATGCTTGCAATGAACAGGAAAGAATAAAAGGCTATGTAGAATGATGTCTAGGTTGAGCTTTTTTTATATATCTAGGAAGAGGAAAAGTTTTCTTTAAAGAAGTACAAAATTAAATCCATTAGTGCCCTAATGGGGTCTTTTCATGCCCTTTTGTTCATTCCCTTGGGTTCATTTTGTATTTTGGGGCTCTAAAGGAGCGGGCTGGCAGGGACCCAGCATGGGAGGATGGCCTCGTGTTTCCTGGATACACATTAG